TTTGCCTGAGGGACCTGAGCCAGGTCGGGTCCTTCGACTGGGCCACTCTAGCTTTGGCTCATCTCTATCACGGTTTGGATGTCTGGACCCGTGGTAGTGGTGAGTCAAACTAGTCATTCCGACCACTGGAGGTAAAACTCTTACTCTCTTTCTTCTTTTCTTCTTTGTCATTTTATTTTCAACTGGTTCAACTGTACGACTGACATCACTGTAAATCTTGTTGGCAGGTATGGGCTTATGAGTACCGGTATCTATCCAGGCGATGCCGAGTGGCTGACACTCCTGCTGAGTCTAGGCGGATTTCCTCGTTACCTCGGCCCATTGTCACCACACGTATGCCGACATGGCGAGGATCCCGAAGTACTGGAGGGAGCTCCCGAGTACTGGAGGAGCTTCCTTAACGACAGGTCGCTGTCTGATGTAAGTACAAAAATCTCTGACCAACTTAGCTTGGCTTTCTTCCTTCTTTTACACTGTATAACTACTGATTCTTTTATTTCTACAGCTGTTTCTGACTCCATGGGATTGTGAGGCTTGGAGGACTTATCCGGGCCATGAGGTGGCCGAGCTACACACCCGATCGAGGTTCCTGATGCGGGGGTACTGGGCTGATCGGTATTATCTCGGGGAAAGAGTTTATGACACTCCGGTGACCCCAGTGCAATGGCGAGTGCCTCATGCACCTCCTTGCCATATGTGCCTACTGGAGGGCATGATCCGGGAGGATCTGGAGGTGGAGTATAGGGGCTTCTCGGCTAACGATTATCTATCTGCTGGCGACTTTCTCGTCTACTTTTCCTCTCGGATGCAGGCGTGGCTTCCCGAGATCCTCGAGTATACCCAGGTGACTTTCTTATCTTCAATCTCATTTATCTTCATCATTTTTCACTATTTAACCAACTGATTAAATTTCTTTTTCTGTGACTTGTTGCAGGAGCGGAAAACCCATAAGATCAGCCCATTACAGAGCTGAGGCTGCAGTTGAGGCAGGGGCGGCAACTGCTCTGACTGGACCGGCGGGGATTATACCGGGCGATGTACCATTCCCACCTGGCATGGAGGTGGTGCTGGACCTTGATCTGGGTCTGGGGCCGGGCATCACTATTCCTGCTGACCTCAGACGGGCTCCTCCATTACCACAGCTGGATCCTGAGCATGCCTGTGAATACTCAAATTTTGAGGTTCAAAAAGCCAGTTTTTCCGGACTGCGAATAATAAATCATCTCACAGAAGAACCACCAATGAATTCGGTAGGATCAGATAAAGCAACAGAGTAATCACTTCAGAATTTCGCTGCTTGGCAGAAAGCAGATAATCTTCTTCGAGGGTGGATAATCGGCACACTTTTTGAAGAATCTCTAGGGCTTGTAATTGGGCTCGATACAGCCTTTGCTGTCTAGGATAATTTTAAAGACTCATATGCACAGGAGTCTCTGTGAATACTCAAATTTTGAGGCTCAAAAAGCGGCACCGGCCGCCGGCCTCCGGCGGCACCGGTTCGGCGGCACTTGCCGCCGGCCATCGGCGGCCCGTTTTTGGCCTATAAATGGCCACTTACCTCTTCATTTTTGGCCACTCCTGTCTGTGTTGACGGACGATCTTTCTCCCTCATGCTTTTGCGATATCTTTTTCTACCGCCTTTTTGCATTTTTTAATTCAGTCTTTAATTTTTTTTTTTTATGTGTTGTTGATACTTGGCCACTAAAATTAAACAAATATCTAATTAATTAAATTAATATATTCCCACAGCGAGGAGTTTAATCCGGGCAGTCAAGAAGCGGTTCCGTCGATTTTTAAAAATCAGGTTACTTAAACGAAACTCTGTCTATTTAATTTAGCACTTCATGCATGCTTTCTCTTCTACTCCTAATAATTCTATAACTGCATAAATGCATTTCATATCATTACGTTTAGAACAAATAAAAACTTGGCCTCAAATCAAAATATGATTAAGCTTTAAATACCGGTTAATTATAATCGTGTGGTATTATTTTGCTAAAATCCGACAATATTTGGCTAAAAAGGCCCTAGTTAATTAATAACTAAGGTTTAATTGCCTTTATTCGAAACAGTTCCGCTTAAGTTCAATAATTCAATAATTGTGGCTAAAAAGCCGTAATCAATATCACCGGTTTTGGCACAAAAATTGCCTACAACTAAGATCAAACCACATTTTTGGCAACGACATTGCTCACGGTTCAATCCAATTTTTGGCAAACAAATTGCCTATAAATTAGCATTAACCACTGTTCTTAGCGACAAATCGCTTAAATCGAATTCTTTGCGCCAAAAAATTGCCTAATCAATTCATTTATGGCTAAAAGCCTTTAAATCAGTCATTTTATATTGGCCGACAAACGGCCCGAATTAAAACACTTTAGGCAAAAATTGCCTAAATCAAACTTCATTTTGGCCTAAAAGCCTTAAAAAATCAATCAATTTTGGCGACAATCGGCCAAATCACATCAACTTTTGGGCAACAATTGCCTAAAATCAAAACTTTTTGGCTAAAAGCCTTAAAATCAACAAATTTTGGCATTCAAATGCCTAAATTCAAATCACCACTCTTTTGGCAAAATTGGCCTAACAAAAATGCACCAAAGGCATTACAACACTCATGCATTAAAGGCATTACCCCATTCAAAGGCCCTTTTAAAAAAGGCCCTATCGAAACTTACGTATGGAACTTTTTGATTTCCATTCAAACGGAAATTATGTTAGAGCACGGTTTAGGGGATTTAAACCCCAGCGGCAAAAGTCGAAATCACATACTAAACATTTTTTTCATTGTCCCAATTGCCCATTTCATTTTTACCCTGCCCAAAGGGCCATTTCCATTGTTAGGGTTAAAATCTTTTCCACTCTTTTATATATTATATATATAATATTATTATATATATTATATATATATATAATATATATATATTAATATATATATATATATAATATATTATTATATTATAATATATATATAATATAAATTATATATAT